AAAATCCTCACCACTGGACCAATAAACAACATTCTTATCAATGGAGAAAAGATCGAAGTTGTCAAGGACTTCATTCTTCTTGGACCAACTATCAACACTCACAGAAGCAGCAGTCAAGAAATCAGACGACTTTTGCATTAGGCAAATCTGCTGCACAAGATCTTTTTGAAGTGTTGAAGAGCAAAGATGTCAGCTTGAGGACTAAGGTGCACCTAACCCAAGCCATGGTATTTTTCAATAACCTCATATGCATGCGAAAGCTGGAGAGTAAATAAGGAAGACCATAGAAGAATTGATGGTTTTGAGTTGTGGTGTTGGAGGAGAATATTAGACGTGCCATGGGCTGCCAAAAGAACCAATAGATTCGTGTTGGAAGAAGTGCAGCCAGTGCTCCTTAGAGGCCAAGATGGCCAAACTTTGTCGCTCATACTTTGGACATATTGTCAGGAGGGACCAATCGCTGGGGAAGGATATCATGTTTGGTAAATTGGAGGGTCAGAGAAAAAGAGGAAAACCCCCAACGAGATGGATTGGCCAAGTGGCAGCATAGATGGACTCAAGCGTTGCAACAGTAGTGAGGTTGACCCAGGATCGGGCAGTGTTTTGTTCTGCTGTGCATAAGGTTGCTATGGGTCGGTACTGACTCGATGGCACATAACAACAACAACAAAGTCATTCTTGGAGTCTTGGTGTGGTGCCATAGGATAAGCACCAGACCACAAGTTCAGTTTGAATCACAAGCTCATCAGTTCAAAGCTCCTTGGAAACTCTATACAGGGTCGTTATGGGTCAGAACTAACCACGGCACCTAAAAACAAGAATCATTCTTAGCTCCATAAAGTACCTCTGCCTTCTGCCTTCCAGATATGCCCTGGGGCAACAAAGATGTATGGCAGCCAGTAACTGGGATCTTTTCCCTGGGGAGATTTTGTTCTAGCTCTTCTTAACTCATTATTGATTCATGGGTTACTTTTTTTGGCTGAGTAATGCTGGAAGAGCAAACTTAGGTTAGAGACTAAGAAATTTGACTGCAGGCTCTTTTGTATGCACACCTTATGGGACTTTGCTGCCCAGAAGTCTATTTAACCCACTGCCTTCCTTCTGCATTCCTTTCTTCCTCAATGTCCAGTCCCTTAAGCCCTGTTTCCTAGTAGGATCAGCATGGAAAAGGACTGCATTTACTACGCTCACTCCTGTCATCTGCACTTTACAAGGTACTCTGTCTATGAAGCATCAGTCCATAAAAGTTGAGTGTGTGTGTCTGGAAGGTCCGCCCTATGTCTACTGCCCATTGGCCGTGGCTTTGACTTCCCATAGAGTAGATCCTGATGATTCATTGCGACCTACCTTCAGTGATTTGGACGCTTGCGATCTGCAGGGCTTCCACTGACTGTTTTCTGGAGGTTGATTGCAGGCTTTTCTTCCCATCTTAGTCTGGAAGCTTGACTGAAACCTGCTTGGCATCACAGTGACACTCAAGCCTCCACCGCCAGATAGGTGGTAACGGTGTTATGTCTGGGAACTTGCAAAAACCATGTGAGAGGCATGTCTGACTTCCCCTGGCCTCATACTGGGGAAGAAGAGTCAAACTCATTATCAGCCCGAGGCCGGTTCCTATGAAGCAGAGGTCAGACATGCTTCCACCCTCCAACCTCTTTATTCTGACACCAGCTACCCCTCCCACAGCACTCTCTGCTTCACATCTGGGATCAACAGTCCGTAGCAATGGTCACACCAAACTCATAACAACACTCATGTGAACAGGGTACAATTCAGGATCAAAACTCAAGATGCAGTCAGGAATGCCTCTGGTCTGCCATACTGCAGGCACGCCTCACTCTTGTCTTTGGCCTTGGATTCTTATCCATGTTGCCCCTTGTCTTCTGCCTTAGTCCACAGGCCTAGAGCCCGAAGCTTCTCTGTCTCTCCATGCCATTACCTCTGGTGTCGCCTCTGTTGGCATTCTTTTTCTAGGAAGGAATGTCGCACTTCACTCATGCTCTTCCTTCTTGATGGTCCCGGGATCTTCTGTCTCTATTTCTGAGATGGCTCCTTTTAAACCTAGCTGGAGGTAAAAAGTAACCAATCCCAGCCTTAGAGTCATATATTTCTTATTTGTATGGTCCTTGGAGTCCTGGTGTGGTGCTGTGGGTTAATGCACCAGACTGCAAAACCATTTGAACGGTAAAGTTGGCAGTTCACGCTCACCAGCTGCTCCTCGGAAACCTTATACAGGGTCACTATGGGTCAGAACTGACTCAACAGCCCTTCACCACAACAACATCCAATCACACGTGTCTTGTGTGATTTCACCACTCTCCTCTAGTTTTCACCTACTAGTTAGAATGGACCCCTCAATGTTCCTAGCTCAAGTGTAGTCTTAGATACAAAAATAGCTTAGGTAGGAAGACCCATTGCTTACATCATCAGACCAATTTGTAATTATTTTGTTTATTAAGTCTTGTCACTTCAAAATGGTTGGTGACTGGATGGTACCTGCTGGTTGCTCTGAAGGGTTCTGGATGGAGTGGGAGAGGTTGTGGAGTAAACCTCAGGATTGAGGAAGGACTGGGCTTGCTGGTGGATGGAAACTGGTGGAGCCAAGACTCTGGTCCTTAGTTGTCGTTCAGGTCTAGGGCTGGACTCACCCTCATGGCTCAACTTCAGCTGGGCGGTGGATAAGTGTATGGGGATGGGGCGGGGGGATGGCAGCACTGGCGGGCCGTGCACAACATACAGTGATCTGTCACTCAGGATTCAGGGGCAGCATTTACCAGGAGATGAAGTTCAGGGGCTTGGGAGGGAAGGAGAGTGGAGGCAGGAGCCTCGCGGAGGAGGGTTGGGTGGTGTTGCACTGGGGGGAATCGTGGGCACTGAGATGGAGCACAGGTGTGGTTTGTTGAGTGTGGAGCTGAGTGTCTGTTCTGTTGACCTCCCTTCAATTCACACAAAAAAATTAGAGATGACTATGTCCGGAGAAATGCTCGGAGCCAAACCCCAGGCAATTTTCTGAGACTTCATTTCTCTGAATGGAAGTGAGTCTAGAGCCCAGCAGATAAGGGAGTCCTATGGGTAATCTTTGGCAGTCATATGGTATATAACAGAGTGGGAACTCTTGGTTTATAGAAATCAACTTCAAAATGCAAATTCCACCTTTTGACTGTGATCTGGATTTGGGCAATGCCTGGTTTGTGCACACGGTTAAGGTGTGCTTACCTGCTAACCAAAAGGCTAGAGATTTGAATCTTACCCAGAGGCACCTTGGAAGCAAGGCCTAGAGATATACCTATGAAAATTCAGCCAATGAAAATCATACAGAGCACACAGGGTCAACTGACACACGCAAGGTCATCAGGGATCCAAAATGAATAAGGACGATGAATTAAGTCCCACGGTGTTCAACGTAAGCTAAGAAGAGCACTGTTCCATCAGAACCTCGTCCACTTTGAGACTGGTGGTGAAGTCAGTCTGACTTTATAAATATTGATGGAAAGTAAGAAATGAGATAAAATAAAACCTCTGCAACATGTGAGCCCAGGAGTGATTTAGTTGATACTCTGCCAACAGACTGACTTGGGATGTGTGGGGGACAAAGGGAGGAAGTGTTGTAATGTCAAAGTATTGCACACAAAAGCATCTTCCTTTTCCCCCAACATCACGTTGATTTATTTTACTAGTACTTTTCTTCTCTGATGGAAAAGTAATTTCATCAAGAAAACAAATGTTTCTGCCAAAGTTTAAGAATTTCATATTTAATATTTTTCTTTAAAAAAGAAAGAAAAGTCAACAGTGAATTAGGACATGTTCCCCCACAGACACATTTTGATGATTAAAATTTTAAAAAATCCACTGGCAGAAAACAAGATATTTTCCTCACATAGGATGATTATATTTTATTGCTGCTTTGTTTAGTATATACTTTTTGCAATAGGGAAGAAAAAAAAAAAAAACTCGAGGTGAAAAAAATGACTAACACGAGGAGTAGTTTATATAGTCATAACATTTAAATTGTTGTCAAAGGTAAAAAAAAAAAAAAAAGGAAAAAAAGGCTTTTAAATGTAAAATATCACATAACTTCAAAAAAAAAAAAAAAAACTTACCTCAATTTTCCATCATTTATTGTGTACTTTCTAAATATCAAGTCAACTTGCTAAATAGGATTACCATTCTCTATTATAAGACCCTAATGGTACTATGGTATACATTATTTAAACTGTTACTACAAAGACGGTCTCTTCTTTTCCTTTCTGCCTATTATGTACTTAAGCTACAGATAATTGTGGAACAAAAAGCCTATAGTAGGTATAAATGCAATCGTTAAGTGATCCTGTTTGCTGACACTTTCTTCATGTTCCCGAGAGGGGGGAGCCTTTTAATCCAGCATCTTCTCCTGTTTCTTGCCTTCCTTTTTCTTCTTCTTGGATTCTGCTGTGATTGAAAAAGAAGGAAAAAGAAAACAAGCATTACTTTACTAAGCAATGGAGAGGAGAAAGCCACTCTTCCTCTAATTGCTCTGGAAGGAAAGAATGAGCTAGCTAAGAGGAAGCGACTGCACTTGGCAGTCTTCCTGGTAAATTGACAAACATGTATTTGTGTGCACACGCTTGTGTCTTTGTGTGTTCTGTGTGTGTGAAAGAATGTTCTGACCAGCAGACTGCCTATAATCGAAAGATCATGACCTACCTCCATACGAATGCCTATAAAAACCAGTTGCGGGTGAGTGACTTCCCAATCCATCGTGACCCTTGTGTGTCAGAGTCTGTGCTCCATAGAGGGTTTTCAGTGATGGATTTCCCACAAGTGGATTGTCAGTCCTTTCATCTGAGACACCACTGAGTGGCCTCACACCTCCAATTTTGTGTTCAGTAGCCAAGCGTGTTAACCATTAGCACCTCCCGCTGACTGTTGAATGAACGTCAATAAATGCTTGGCTTTTTTGTTATTGTTCTGTTTTTATCGTGAATTGAGTGATAGTTTACACAGGAGAACATCAGTTTTACACTTATGGTTTCATTGCAATGATTACAATTCTCTCCATGCATCATCATCCAACAGTATTTGCTTCTATTCCATTTTTTTTGGGGGGGGGTGGTGGTGTATATAAAAACACTCAGGAATATATAATCATTTAAACAACTAAAGGGCACGTTCTGAAAACCTGCCTTCTGGCCACCAGCACACAGCCTTTCTCTTTCCATGAGTCTAGAGTCTTCAGCTGCTCTCTCTCTCTGTGTCCTCATCTGTTATTTGTTGGTGACCATATTTTGGCTGTCTTGGAGTTCTACTAGGAAATTCTGAGACAATGACCATACCACCGCATAATGGTGAGCTATCAGAGCTGTGTATATCTCTTGCTTCCCCAAATCCTTTCCCAAGGAGCTGACTCTTAACATTGGTTTGAACAAATGATTCCAAAGTGGTCCTTCTTCTGGTCTGCCCTCTGCTTAGATAAGCTTGGCTTAAAATTCCCCCAAAGACCAGCTCTGACCGCATGTACTCCATCTAAAGCTTTGTCTACAGGGACTCCTAGACTTGGGTGAAGCAAACAGGATGTGCCAACAGTAACTCATCCTTCAGATCTCAGCTCCAATTTCACTTCCTTAGGGAAGTCTTCCTAGAATGCCTCCCAGGTCCCACTCACAGTGAGATAGACACTTCCACTGTGCCGACCACTGCTCTTGCCAAAACCACAATTCATTTATTTAGCTCAGATCTAAGTCTTGAACAGCCATGTCCCTTTTCCCACGAGGGTAGAGACCAGGTCTGTATTTTGCATCTGAATCTTCAGTGCTTGGTGTACGGCAGCAGGTACACTCCTTAAATTTCGATAGCATGCAGACTGAATCAGTGAGTACAAGAGTAATAAAAAGTCAGATCACTGGTATTGGGGAAAATGGCATCTCTCAAGGAAAGCATGGAGTGCAAAGTTACTGAGAATCTTGCAACATTTCAATATTTCTTTAAAGCCATATATTTTATGAAGAATCAAATAAAAAACATTCATACATAAAAATGTAACCACATTTCAAAACTTTTTTTTTTTTTTTAAATGAATCACTCTAGTCTTGAAAGTAGAGGCCTGAATTAAATCTGTAGGTAAAACCTTGTCCCCTTTTAATAACTGAAGGTCACAGGTCACAAGAGTAATGCCAACTAGGAACATGCTGGATGTCATCAAGCCAGTGATGATTCAGAATGACCCTTGTGACTGAGCAGAACTGCCCCATGGGGGTTCCTAGACTGTGGGCCATCAAAAAGAATGAACACATCTGTCTAGACACAAGTACAGTCAGTGTGCCTTAGACTCGAGGATGGTGTGGCTCCGCCCCACATACTTTGGACACATTATTGGGAGGGACCCATCTACAAAGAATGACATCATGCTGGCTAAAGTGGTTGTTGTTGTTAGTGCCATCGAGTCGGTTCCGACCCAGAGCGACCCTGAACAGGGTTTCCGAGGCTGTAAATCTTTATGGGAGCAGAAAGCCTCATCTTTCTCCGTGGAGCAGCTGGTAGTTTCGAACTGCGGACCATGCAGTTCACAGCCCGATTTGGAACCACTACGCTACCAGAGCTCCTTAGGTAAAGTGGAGGGTAAGCAAAAAAAGACAAAGAGCCGCAATGAGATGCATTCACACAGTGGCTGCAACAATGGATCCAAACGTAACAACAATTGTAAGGATGGTGCAGGATTGCTCAGTGTTTCACTCAAGTGGTTCACGGGGTCACTGAGCACTCTAGCCAACTTGACAGCTCCTAACCCTGGTGACAATGCTCTTTATGGAAGTAGACCTCCGGCTCTTTTCTACATTGAGAGTGGCTGGTAGGTTCTAACTGCCAACCTTTTGGTAAGCAGCCAAACACTTAACTCTTGTGTCACCAGGGTTCCTTTTACTATAAGCATTGTTGTTGTTGTTGTTAAGTACTATCGAGTCGGTTCCAACCCATAGTGACCCTGTATAGGGTTTCAAAGGAGGAGCTGGTGAGCTTGAACCACCGACCTTGCAGTTCAAATGACTTTGCAGCCCAGTGCATTATCCTGTAGCACCATATCAGAACCCCACCATGAGCATTGTTATTGTTGTCAGGTGCCATCTAGTCGGAACCAACTCATAGCGACCCCATGCACAGCAGAACGAAACAATGTCCGATCCTGGGCCAACCTCACTACCGCTGCCACAGTTGAGTCCATCAATGATGCCACCTGGCCAATCCATTTCGTTAGGGGTCTTCCCCTTTTGCCCTGACCCTCCACCTTACTCAGCATGACATTCTTCTCCAGAGACTGTTCTCTCCAGACAATATGTCCAAAGTATGAGAGATGAAGCTTAGCCATCCTGGCCTCCAAGGAGCACTCTGGTTGCACTTCTTCCAAAACAGATCTCTTGGTTCTTTTGGCAGTCCAT